GAGACACCTATAATGTGGGAAAAAATTTTTTACCAGCTGTTCCTCAGACAAAGGACTACTATATAGAGTATATAAAGAACTTTACCAAAACAGACCCCCAAATTTAAAGACCCAATCCAAAAATGGGCCTCTGAAATAAAGAGACATTTCTCAGATGAAGAAGTAGAAGCAGTAAATAAACATATGAAAAAATGTTCAACATCACTGGTCATTTGAGAGATGCAGATGAAAACAACACTGAGATTCTATCTCCAAAAAGAATATCTGCTATCAAGAAATCAAGGAATAACAAATGCTTAAGGGGTTGTGGGGAGAAAGGAACCCTGCTCCATTGTTGGCGGGACCACAGACTCGTGCAACCACTGTGGAAATCAATATGGAGATACCTCAAAGAACTAGGAATAGAGGTCCCTTTTGATCCAGCTATTCCCCTGCTGGGTATCTTCCCAAAAGAATTAAAAACATCTTATCATAGTGATATATGCGCACCCATGTTTATAGCGGCGTAGTTTGTAGCAGCTAAATCTTGAAAACAGCCCAAGTGCCCATCAACTGGTGATTGGATAAAGAAGATGTGGTTGGTTTTTTTTTTAATAAAATGGAGTACTACTCAACCATAAAGAATGATAAATTAGACATTTATAGCTAAACGGATGCACCTTGAGGTCATACTCTTAAGTGAAATAAATAGGACACACACGTATAAATACTCAGTAGTTCCTCTGGTGTGAGAAACTGAAAGTGTAAATGAGGATCAAAATGTATAACAGATAATGTGAAATAGGGAAAAAAGTTCCAAAGGGGAAGGGGATGGGGAAGGAGTTGGGAAAGGACTAAATATGAGAAAAGGGGGAAAAAAAGTAGCACTTCTCTCTGAAAGGAGACAGGCTGAACTTCCCAGCTGAGTACAGAAATGCTGACAATGACACTCTCCTCCAAGACTACAATGCCTTTCCTTGGGGAACTGTCAACACAGAAGGACGGAGGGAACACGAAGAGCCTACAGGAGACTGGGGGGTTATAAAGGGCAAACATTTGCAAAAATCTAGTAACTGGACCAGGGACAGAAGCTCACTGGGGGCTACAAAGGAAGCTGGTATTCTATGGGGACATTTTACTTTCAGTCATCTATTTCACATTCCTAGGTCAAATGCTTGAGAGCAAACAGTGTAGGATTTCTTGCGACGTTTGTTCCTACAAGTCTTTACAGGATCCAAATAATATAATCTTAGAGAAAAGACTTCAAAAAAGAGGAAGCCTTCTCCTCCTCCCCTGTGTGAACAAGGGAATCTCTTATTTAGATGTTATTAAAACTGTCTGAATGAAAGGTAGCATTAAGAGCATTAAGGTGGTACACAGGAAACTGGGTTGAGACACCGTTTTATTTACAATTTACGTGCTATAATTTGGTGCTAAGGCGCACTCACAGCACTACAACCATATTGAGAAACATTCCTCTCACAGCGTGCCTGTGCACAGCAAGTGCAAAGGATCTGGCACGCCTAGGAAAGTGACTGAGTTTATTCATTCCTACTACCAAGCCATGGGAACAGGGTCAGAAACACCCAAGCGAGATGCTCTCTTCCAGTGTGCGGCTTTAAGGAAACGCAAACCACCGCAGCCACCGCTGGTTTCCGGGAGGGAGTCAGGGTGGAGTGACCAGCCCCCGCGGTCTGCACGAACCCGGCGGGGTCCTGGCAGGCCAAAAGCACAGGCCCGGCTTCCGTCGGGCACCCACCCTGCCCGTCCACTCAGAGGAGACAACGAGCCGACCACGAAAGGCAAGCACGGGACCCTAAGGAATCTTCTCGCGGAACCCCGCCCCGCCCAGCGCGATGACGTCACGCACCGCCCCTCCTCGGGCGCCAGGGCCTGAGGCGCTAGGGTGTGGCCGACTCGGCATGATGACGTCATGCCCCAAACCCGGGCGGAGCACGCGGGACCGTGGGATGGGGCCGGTCAGGCGTAATGACGTCGCGCGCTACCAACCCTAGGCTGTCCAGCAGAACCCCTCAGAGCTGCGCCAGGCGGGGCGGGGCGGTCCCGGGGTGAGGACGAGCCGCACCGCCCACCTCCTGGCCGTCCCACTGAGCCCTTGAGAGCGTTGCTGACCGGGCCCGGCGTGCTCACGCCGCGCACCGCCCATTCAAGGCGGGGCGGGCGAGACCCCTCTGAGTTGCGCTGGGCGGGGCCGGTGGGAGGGCCTCGGCCGCGCGGGCTGTTTTCTCAGATCGTCGCTGGCGCGCGGGGCTGACTGATTCAGGGTCTACACAAGCGCCGCGCCCACCTCGGCAGGCGATGAGTGGCTCGGGGGACGAGGCCCCGCGGGCCGGCGCGGGGGGAACCGGGGACCGCGCGGCGCCCGAGCCCCCTGGCGGCATGCTGAGCCTGGACGTGCTGGGGCTGCTAGCGCAGTTGGCGCGCAGCTTCGCGCTGCTGCTGCCGGTGTACGCGCTCGGCTACCTGGGGTTGAGCTTCAGCTGGGTGCTGCTGGCGCTCGGGTTGCTCGCCTGGTGCCGCCGCAGCCGCGGCCTGAAGGCCAGCCGCCTGTGCCGCGCCCTGGCGCTGCTGGAAGACGAAGAGCGCGCCGTGCGCCTGGGGGTGCGCGCCTGCGACCTGCCGGCGTGGGTGAGTACGGCGGGACCCCACGCCCCGACCCTTAGCCGGGTACGCACCACCTGGACCCTCTCACCGAGCCCCGGGCCGGAGTGTCGGCCTGATCAGGGTCCGTACCCGGCCTCCCAACCCCGGGATCTGTCTGCGGGCTCAGCGTCCTGATCCTCAGCCCGGAGCACACAGCCCGTTGCAGGTTCCGACTGCCGCCGCCTCTCCGGCCCACCTGCTCGGGTGCGCCTGCGATCTCCCTGCTCGCCACCGCTTCCCGGGTCCCCACCCGAGTCCGGTGTCCCCATCCCCCGTCCTGCCCTTGGCGAGGTGTCGGGGCCACTGTCTGCGCCCAGGGCTGTCCTCGTTGCCCCGCCCTGCGGGTCGGGAAGTACAGAGAACGGTGTCTGGAAAGACAGTGGCGGGCGCGGTTCGGCGGGGTTTCTGCTATTCGGAGCCTCTGGGCGACTCTGAGGCCCAGGTTTCCTTCTCTCCTATCTGAAAGATGTAGTGACCGCTGTCCTGTGAGGACTTATTCCTTTCTTAGTTGTTTGTGACACAGAAGAATGGGTGTACTGAAAGATTTACTGATATTCACGGTAATTGAAACGTGTTTTGTTTTGCCAGTACCCGGTTGTGAGAGTGAGCCTTTCTGTATAGGGTCATATATGACAGAAAGTTGTGGAAGAGTTACACTCATAACAAGAATTACCATATTGCTTACTCCTTTTTTATTTGGAGCAATTGTCAACATGTTTATAGAGCATAGAAACAAATGGAGTTGGCTTCATCATTTTCCTCCTCTCTTCCTAATTTTTTCTTAGCGATGAATTGGTGTCACAGTTTCAGACTGTGGGAAATAGTGCTTTTTAAAAAGATAAATGACGCTTACCTTAGACTTGATGTAAACTAATGTGAGACAGTGGCTGCAGTGACTTTCAGAAGAGTCATTTTCTCTAGTGGAAAATAGGGCCTAGAGAATGCTTCCTGTTTCCAGCTAGGCAACATGTGGGAAGTAAGGCATGGAATGTAGGACACAAATGGCCAACAAACAAAAATTAGAAAGCAGGAACACCTAAAATGATAAAGGAAAGAAATAGCACTTTGTGATGACAAATAACAATTGAGATAAGAATACCAAGGACTTCAGGAATTTAAATATGTGGGACAAGAGTATTTTGGAGAATCAGAGTAACTATTAGCATAGTTTTTAGCTATTGGCAGTAGAAAACAGGAAGTTAGAGTAACCAAGATGAGAAAAATCACGAACAGAGGTGGGTTTCTTTTGTTTTGTTTTTGTTTTTTGGAGACAGGGTCTTGTTCGAAGTTCAGACTGGCCTAGAACTCAGTATGTAGTTAGGTTGGCCTGGAGCTTCCTGTGATCCTTGTGATCTTCCTGCATTTGCCTCCAGGGCTGGGATTACAGGCTTGCTCCACCAGGCAGGGCCAGAGGTGTACTTTGAAAAGCAAAAGGATTTTGACTGGACATCTTGTGTTTATAATAAATCAAATGCTTCACAAAGGTAGCTAAAAACAGCAGGTAAAATTACTAAGAAAACAACATAAGGCTGAAATCTGTAGGAAGAGAGTGGTAATAACTTTCACAAATACTTGGTTATTGAGCAATTGACTGATTAATTTGCTTGTAAGAAAAAAGTATATGAAACAAGCTATTTTCACATAGTGAATTAAATACTATTACTATTTTGCCATTTTGAAGAACTAATTAATTTTAGTGGAATAAATAGGTGATTAGACAGTGTCTTTTCATGGACTTTTAAAAAATCTGCTTGAACCATAATTTTTTATCTTATAAAAGAATTTGTATTTTCTCCAGAAATTTTCATTGTGTTATTCTGATTTTGTATTTGAGCTCATAACACAAACACACATACTTAAATACACCTATATTGCTTAGAAAGCTTCCTGAAAGATTCTCATGAAACTTGACAGGATCATAACCAAGGTCTTAGGTAGATTTGGGGGGATTATCTCTTTTTTTTAATCCTCATGAGTTATTATCATAATAAATCCAGTAAGCTGCATGGTCTAGGATTGTGCCTGAAGCTCTGCCACTGGAATTGGCAGGGAGCAAATCAACAATAAAAAGCCTTAAGAGAAGTTAAGATTTCAGTATTACTAATACTTTGATTTTTACTGTGGGTCTTTGGGGTTTCAGATTCTTGGGCTTTTGAACAAGACGTATTTGTATACCCCAAAGACTACATGTTTTCATAATGTTGGTGGAAGCTGATAGAAATATGGTGGAAGTATGGGAAACCATTAATGAATATGGTATTTTGAATGTATTCACTGACAGCTTTTCCTCATTTTATTTAATAAAAATTTAGGCATGATATACTTATAGAAAAATGTAGAAATGACATAATTAAAGAATATTAGTACTTTGAGAAAAAATATATGTAGTTTCTAAATTGAGACTATTAGGGTATGGAAAGATGGCTTTCATTTAACATGTGATAGTTTTTCAAGAGTATGGGCCTGCAGCTTTAATGTAAACCGTTTAAGTCATTCTTCCACTCTTCTTTCCATAAACAGGGAAAAGGCCTGTCAGGCTTGATGGATTCATGATGGAGCTTTTTATTGTATAAATAGCTACCTTGTATTAGTGGGGCCCTAGAAAGTTACTCTGAAGAATTTTTTTGAAGAGCTTCTGTAGAAATGAATAAAGACAGTTTTTCATTGCTATTTTTATTTATTTGAAAATTTAGAACTTGGAGGTTCTAATAACCTGTGTGACTTTTGCCTGCTTTTTACTATTGTTCATATTGCTGATGTTATGTGCAAATATATAGAAACCCAAACCTGTTGTGTGGTATAGCTCAACTTGCGGGACAGTTGGTCTTATTAGTCAGGTATTTGGACTATTGAGAAAGCAAAGTTAGCTTTCTTGGATAGTATTGCACACAAGCTTTCTTTGGGGAAACTTTCTCCTCATTGTTCTTCTGGAAAGTTAGGAAAATTTAAGTATAGCCAAAATGCAGTACATTTAGTATAAGAACAAAATTTTAAAATGTGCTGTGGCCTCATAAATAAAGGGTAAATATTTGCTTTTTCTTTCAATGTTAATCATTGACTTACTACTTTCACAAAATTTTGTGAAGATTGATGAAAGAAAGTAGATGATAGTTCAGAATTCTTTTAACTGAGTACTACATCCCAGAGTGTTTCTGTGGTCTGAGAAGCTGCGATGGGGTTATAGGTGCTCAGGGTTTCTTGTTTACACCCCTGTGGCTGACACAAAGGGGAAAGGACTTGGACGGTCACATTGCTTTGTGTTATGTGGTCTGAATGTTTCAGTAAATTAGAACATGACACTCCAACTTTGCTAAAAATAAAGCAGAAAATACCTGGGATTTTGTTGTTTAAAATTAAAAAAAACGATTTAGGATATAAATACATTCATTAAGGTATATGTATTTTAAAACATTTATAAATACAAATCTCAATTCTGTGAAGAATCAGTTATGGAAAACTGATGTAATTTTGTGTTGTCATTAGGTCTAATGAACCTCTGCTCTGTGAGTTTTCATGATTGCTACATTGGTCAGAGCATTTAATCACTGAATTATATAAATGAGTGATTTGAATAGTATGTGAATTATATATTAATAGCACTGTTAAAAATATAGACATTGAGGGCTGGGGATTTAGCTCAGTGGTCCTGCCACCTGCCTCACAAGGACAAGGTTCCGAGTTCAATCCTCGGTAGCCCCCCCAAAAATATATAGACATTGAATATGTTTCAAAATTAAAAGAGTGAAAAGGTAGTCAGTGCAAAGTGAGCTATACCCCTTTGCTTATAATATTCTAGCTTAAACTTAAAATTTGGGAGTATTTACACTTTAAAAGATATTTAATAAAAGGGATGGGTTTATGAATGAATGCAAAGAGCAAGTAGGTAAATATTTTTACCTTAAGCCTAATGTTTCTATAGACACTGATGCAATGTTGTCTGAAATAGGTTTTTATATACATATATGAAATTTTTATTTACATTTATATCTATATATATATATACTCCTGCTGCTGGCGATTGAACCCAGGGCCATGTTAAACATGTACTGTACCACTGAACTACACTTCCAGCCTCCATATACAAATTCCAATTGAATAACTACAGAGATCCATGCTTCAAAGATATAAATAATTTGAATCTGTGTTTTCTGTTTTTTTAAACTTTTAACTCTGATTCAAGGTATTGATGTATAATTCTTATATTTGAGGCATTTAGCCTATAGGTTGGCTTGTTTTATACTAGGCATAGTCTATTAGAGTACTCTGTCATTTTAGAATGTACTATGTGGTCTTTTGCATTTTGTTATAGTTTGTCAGCTCATTATCTTTTTCAGTTTCATGACATTTCTGTCTCAGAGAAATTTTATTAAAGTTTGAGGACTGTTCTGACAGAATTTGAGGTCATCCTGTCTTCAAATAACCAGGGGAGATGAGACAAACTTTTTTTTTTTTAAATTAATTTTATTGGTACATTTTATTGGTACACTTTAGGTACACAGTTCGTTTACATTTATCATTGGGTGTTTGTACCTGTACATGTTATATCTTGGTTCTTATTTTTTTCCCCATTACCTGTGCACCCTTCACCCCCTCCACCCTTCCCTATTTACATAGATTTTATTTCCATTTTTTTTTTCTTTTCTCATAGTTTTTCCTTTCCCCTTCCCCCCCCCTTCACTCCTTCGTCTTTGGACCTTTTTTCCTATTTCAAATTATCAATTATTCATTTTAATCTTGTTTACACTACCAGTTTCTCACAATAGGGAACCTATTCGGTATTTACACATGTGTGTCCTATTTATTTCACTTAAGAGTATGGCCTCGATATGCATCCATTTAGCTATAAATGACTCTAG